GGGGAGGTGGCCCTGGGCGGGAGGGGGAGCCTTCACTCCTGGCCCGAGAACCTCGGTGCGTTTCGGCTGGATGGCCCCGCCGAGGGAGTGACCCGTTACCTGGTCACTCACAGGGCCCTGGGCTGGGACCCGGTGGAGTAGGGTGGGCCCGGGTCCCCCTACCTGGGGTGCGCCCCGCTACAACAGTTATAAACTGCTTTGTGGACTCGGCCTTGCTTAAAGGGCCAGTTATATACGACATTGTTGCCGATGATGAGCAACCCGTACAGACTGTAACTTGCCCTGAGAGGGGCTATATGAGGACAGTCAGGGGGCACTGAGGCACACTTGGGTGTGAACCCCCTGACAAGGGCTTATTGAGCTAAGCTGTAGGGAGAAGGCTTAGTGGAGCAGCCAATCAGGGCCAGGATGGCCCCTATAAGCAGGGCTGCTGAGCAAAAGGCTCCCGGGAATGCTGCCTGGGTTGGTTGCCGGGAGAGGAGCACCAAATCCATAGCAGGGGTGGGGGAATCAGGGAAGGGGAAGGGAGCTACAGCCTGAGTGACTGGCAGAGTGAAGTCCTGATACAGGGATAAGGAAGCAGTTGTGATTTTAGGGAAGAGAACAGGGAGATGCTGGAAAACGGGCAGTAGGTGGCTGCTGACCAACCCAGAGAAGCAGGCAGTTCTGGGTCCCCCTCCTTTGCACTCCACTTTCAAATGAGGGAGTGGCTGGTATCCGGACTGTTGTTTGTCCCTGAGTTCGGGGATTGAGGGTGAAGGTGGCCAATGAGGCAAGTGACAGAGGTGGCTGGTATCTGGACTGTTGTTTGTCCCTGAGTTTGGGGACTGAGTGTGAAGGTGGCCAATGAGGCAAGTGACAGAACTAAGAACTGTCGGCTCCCCAGTCGTGGGGAGATAACTGAGTGGGGTGCTGTGTCCAGAAGAGGTCACTGCCATCTGGGGAACAATGTGGATCACAGTCAGGTAGGTCCAGAGCAGAAGTGATGGTGGTGAGGCACCGTCTGAGGAGGGGGCACTGTCGGGAGGGTTAAATCCCCAAATGGCCAGGAGGAGACTGCTACCCCCAGGGCGCAGGTAGCAAACACGGTTCCAAATGCCCTTTGGTACCCTTGTCAGATGCACAGGATCAGTCCCCTATCCAGGTCTGTCACCCATGAATTAATCACTGAAATGGATCCTGTTTCCTCCCTCCCCTTCCTCCTGTGCAGGATGAATGAAGAAAGATGGGGTGATCTTCGGGTGCAAACGAGGTATAATGTTATCTAGGGATTAATTGCAAAAGAGGGAGAAATGGGGAGATGACCCAATGCAGTTATAACAAACAGAAAACCAAACTGGGGACAGACACAGCACAAACAGGGGCTGTAAGTCCAGACCCACCTCATCAAACCCCTTTTGGCCTTGAGTTTTAAAATGGTAAGAATAAGCCCTGAGTTCAGTGACGTTTCTCTCCTGGGACTGGCAGTGGCGCTGGGGGAGGTGCCTAGGACCTGCTACCCTCAGGCTGGTCTGGAGCCCTTGGGGAGGAGCGCTGGGGAGTCCTACGATGTCCTGTCCTGCACTGGGGGGTGCAGGGGAGCCGTAGGCTGGGGGGAGGGGTTATAGGCAGGCTGGGGGGGACGGTTGGTAAAATCCCCTCTTCCCGCCAGCAGCTGCAGTTGGATCTTGCAGCTGGGGCTGCTTCTGGCTGGCAGGGGGTGGAGCTGCCATTATGGCCAACAGCAGCTGAGGCTGAGGCAACTCAGCCCTTGCAAAGCCACAAGAGCGGGGAAAGCCTGAGGGGAATGGAAATCTCATGACCAGTTGGACGGAAAATCTGGTTTAGACCGGTCTCTGAGCGGTCAGTGCCTGAGGAGATCCAACATGGATCCCTAGGTCAAGGATCACAGACTCCATTTTGTTTCTTCCAATTACTGACTTAAACACTATCTTAACATTGCATTTAACGAGGTAGATCAATTAAACCATACATAAACAAAACTCCAGAACCAGCTGCCATGGAGGTTAGCTTCAGCTCCATTATATGTCAACAATGTAGTATCTCTGAAGACCTTGCAAACTTTACTCTATTTATTGTAATCGCTGCCATCACAGAGAAAGCAACTGTCTTGATTTAAGGTTGTCCAACAGGCCCATCATTGAGCTAGGAACAAAGCCCATAGTTAGTGGATGATAGATATTGCTCTACATCATTGAGACTTTTTCCTTCTAATGGCAACAGAGAAACGGGTGAAAATTGTACAGATAACAGAGTGGCGACCAAATCCCTCATTCTTTAATGCAACTTCGCACAAATCTCTAGGCTCCTACTCGGGCAGCTTTTCAGCCTGACAGCAGAGACCAAGAAGCTCAAGATCGCAGGACCTAGCGATGCTGACTGGAATGTATGCCTGGTTCTGTCCAACACTCTCTTGGAACATCAATTCATACAAAAGCCGTCATCTTATGAATAGAAAATGGCCTGTGCAAATCTTCTTCTCAATTAGAAGTTCTCAGCTATTTCAATACAAAAATACACAGGCCTCAGTTAAGCAATAAAACACATTTACTGACTACAGAAATGTTCTTTTTGATTACAAATTATGATGAATTTAAAAACAACAAATGTTCTGGTAGCACTTTCTAGAGTAACAAAACCTATCGATGGTATTATGAGCTTTCATGGGCACAGCCCACTTCTTCATGATCCCATCTACATGTTTTGTTAGTCTATAAAGTGCTACCAGACCATTGTTGTTTTTTAAGTTTATCCTGTGCAGACTAACTCGGCTACCCCCTGAAACATACAAATAGGAAGTCAGAGAATTGGAAATAAAGGAAATGAAATATAAAATTCAACTAATAGCTAACTTGACTAGCTTAAGGAATTCAAGCAAAGATTTATCTTGTCGCTTATGTCTGCAGTGTTACTGACTGAATGCCTTTCACCCAGAACCCTCCTGCCCAACTTTCTTTCACTTTATTTCCGATTGTCTCTAAAACCTCAGGCTGAAGATGATTCTTGCAAAAGAGAAATGAGAAGCAAAGGCAGTTCTCTGAATGGTACTATCCTTCCCTTTTTGTCAGTTCATGGCATCAAAAACAAAGTCTGAGGGAACAGAAAATCCCAACGGTTTGTTTATCAGAATGTAGATTTCTCACCTACACCCGTCTTCCTGCACAAGAATGGCCTCTTCAGCAGATGAGATATAATTTAAATTGGTTGACACATGCCTGAGGCATGTGTCCCTTGTGTCCCTAAGAACTACTTTGTCCCTGCTTTTCTCAACTTGAAATAGCTCAATACATTATAAAGCGGAATCTTCTAATTTTACATAACGTTGCCACACGCATTTTTACCAGAATAATGATGATCGGCAGATTATGAACTTGATGAAGAGAAAGCGGGTCTGTTTTGCCATGCTTTTACGTTCATGTTTTACACAACTGTTCCTTTATTGCTTCAGAGGGGGAAAAACTTAAAAAACAACGAATGATCCCATCTACATGTTTTGTTAGACTTCAAGGTGCTGCTGCACTATTCGTTGTTTTTTAAGTTGTGCCTTTATTGTCAAGAGAAGGAACGATCATCTAGCTGTAGTGAAAGCATTAGTTTAGAACTCTTTAATTTGGGGCTTAGTTCCTGACTACTGCAGACCTCGCGTGTAGCCTTAAAGCAGGATATTAACTTTCTCTGTGCTTCAGCTCATTTGTGAAATAGAGGGTGTGTCTAGACTACATGGCTCCATCGACAGAGCCATGTAGATGAGTGTACTCAGCAAAGGGAAATGAAGTAGTGATTTAAATAATCACCGCTTCATTTACATCAAAATGGCCGCTGCGCTTTGACGATCAGCTGATTGTCGGCACAGCGTGGTAGTCTAGACGGGGATCATCCGACCCCAAATCCCTTTGTCGTCAGATCCTTTATGTCTTGTGAAATGAGGCTTACAGGATCTGACGACAAAGGGATTTGGGGTCGGATGATCCCCGTCTAGACTACCACGCTGTGCCGACAATCAGCTGATCGTCAAAGCGCAGCGGCCATTTTGATGTAAATGAAGCGGTGATTATTTAAATCACTACTTCATTTCCCTTTGCTGAGTACACTCATCTACATGGCTCTGTCGATGGAGCCATGTAGTCTAGACACACCCGGAGATACTATTGTGCTACCTAACATGAAAGTTATGTCAATACAAACAATAAAGAGTTTGAGGTTCTCAGAGGCATATATTGATGAGGCGCTTATAAGGAACTACTAACTGTAATGATCCACCAACAGATATTTTATATTCAAAGAATGTTTTCAAATATCACTATGTTTGGAGAATTCTCAGATTTTGATCACACTGAAATGAATATTTTCTAAGGTGCCATGAACTAAAAAACATTTATAAGAGCAGCTTCAACCATTTCTCACTCACAATCCCCAGAGCCATACAATTCCCAGAATCGTTACCCTTCATAGTCTATAATAAATCCCAAGAGAACTAAGAGCAAGAACACATTGCTAACCTGCTGATGAGGTATAAAAATATTGTGTCTGATTATTTAACGTATTTTATTTATGTCGTAGAGAAAATTTACACTTTCTGTGCTATTTTGTATTCTGTTCAGTGCAGACTGTCACAGGGGATGCATACACACTATGCTCTCTCTTAGACACCATGCTCCTATTTCATTTTTTTGTTACACACTATGCTCTCTCTCAGACACCATGCTCCTATTTCATTTTTTTATTTGTTTGTTTCCTTCAGATGAAGTGAAGGATTTTGTGATGAAAATAATATTTCCTCAGCATGCATGGACATAAACCGGGAGACAATCTCTACAACAACTCCCTTTCCTTGAGCCATAGAAATTACACACACCTTAATGAAGCCAAGCCAGCTACAAAGAAACCAACCTAGATAAAACAAAGAGAGACATTTGAATTCCCCCTTTCACTGAAAATACAAACAGATCCATGGATTCAAAGCAAATGACATATATTTACATAGTCAGACGTGAAACAGGTGCTTCCTTTAATTTTGCTGGAGTAATAGCATAAGAAAGCTCTAATCTCAGTTGTGACCTGCAGATTTTGGTGGAATACAAATACATAAATAATAATATAAATGCAATAATGAACAATACTACTATGAGCTCTATGAGACAACATCACTATGGGAGAGGAATTGAATTCCCCTGTTTTCACTCCCCATCATTCAACCAGAACTTGGATGAACAAATTCAGGAATTCACTAACAGGTTATTCATGGCTTTCTTCACGGCGTCCTTCACTTCCCTGTTCCTCAAGCTGTAGATGAGGGGATTCAACATGGGGATAACCATCGTGTAGAAGACTGAGGCTATTTTGTCTGTGTCCATAGAATAGCTGGAGGATGGGCGGAGAGACATGAAAATGAGAGTGCCATGAAAAATGACCACCGTGGACAAGTGAGAAGAGCAGGTGGAGAAGGCTTTGTACCGGCCCTCGGCAGAGTGGATCTGCAGAATGGCGGAGATGATGTAGACATAGGAGAGGAGGATGGTCACACTGCTGATCACTATTATGTAACAAGTAGAAGCAAACATCATAACTTCAATGATGCGGGTGTCAGAGCAAGAGAGCGCCAGCAATGGGGGGATGTCACAGCTGAAATGATGGATGATGTTGGAGCTACAGAATGACAGCCGAAACGTACAACATGTGAGTATCATTGCATCCAAAAACCCCACGGCACATACCCCAGCTACGAGCTGGTTACAACGCTGCCTGGACATGGTGACCATATAGAGCAGGGGGTTACAGATGGCCACATAACGGTCATACGCCATCACAGCCAGCAAGAGACACTCAATATCTATGCAAACAAGGAAGAAATACATTTGCACAGCGCAGGCAGTGTGAGAAATACTTTTTCTCTCAGTTAAGAAAGTCTGCAGCATTTTAGGGGCTATTACTGTGGAACAGCAGAGATCACAGAAAGACAAACTCCTGAGGAAAAAGTACATGGGGATATGAAGTTGCTGGTTAACTGTGATTAACAAGATCATCCCACCATTACAGACCAGAGTGGTAACATAAATCAGTAGGAACAACAAAAACATACCCCAGCTACGAGCTGGTTACAACGCTGCCTGGACATGGTGACCATATAGAGCAGTGGGTTACAGATCGCCACATAACGGTCATACGCCATCACAGCCAGCAAGAGACTCTCAACATCTACACAGACAAGAAAGCAATACATTTGCACAGCACAAGCCATGTACGAAATGCTTTTCCTCTCAGCTAAGAAAGTCTGCAGCATTTTAGGGGCTATTACTGTGGAACAGCAGAGATCACAGAAAGACAAACTCCTGAGGAAAAAGTACATGGGGGTGTGTAGTTGTGGGTCAATTGTGATTAAGAAGATCATCCCCCCATTACAGACCAGGGTGGTAACATAAATTAGTAGGAACAACACAAACAGAAGAACTTGCAGTTCTGCACTGTCTGAGAGACCTGAGAGAATGAACTCACTCACCACCGAATGATTTCCTTCTTCCATCGCCTCGATATAGAGATCACGCAGCTACAGTGGGACATTAGATGGCTCGGGTAACATGTCTTTTCTCTCTAACCAATTAAGAGAAGAGAAATGGAGATCAGTTTCTTAATGAGCATTAATATAAGATTGGAGATGGGCTTAGTTTACAGAGTCAGAAGTTCACAGCTGATCATGCCAGTTGTTCTCTGAAATGCACACCCTGTACACACAGAATAATCACATCACAGACACAAACAGTCCTGATCACTAATAGAAGCCGCAAGGTTGTGGAAGAATCGGGGTGAAAACCATCCCTCTTAGTGCTATGAGATTGTTGTTTAGCTCAAGAAGGGGTTAGAGTAAACAAGTGACAATGTCTCTAACCTCTTTGGGTATGGGGAGCTCTGTGGCTGGGCATGTCTGTTTGGAGAAAAGCTCGTGTGCTCTGCTAATAAAGCTTTTATGCATCTGAAATGGCCTTTACAGTGCTCTTTAAGAAAATCTTGAGAAACAGGGGAAACCAGGGGTTTCAGGGACTACGTAATTGCCTATTTCTTCCAATCAAGAGGTTTGTTTCTATAGCTCAAGGTGGGCTGAGGCTTTGAGTGTTGTAGGTCATGAATTCAGTACCTGTTAATGGCCCTGCTGACTGTGCGAGTGTGACTATGATGCAAGTCAATAGTACGTACCTGATGAGAAGAGAGATGAGGTGTTTCCCCATTGAAAGAAAGTGCCAGTTTTGAGTATTCAGGAAGTTTTATACCTAGATCTGTGATCCATTGGACAGGCTTCCTGATCTCAAGAGCACAACATCTAATTCACCTATGGAGTGAAGCCAAATTACTCTTGGTGAAACTCATTCTCTGAGGACTAATTTGGTGTACTCTTTCCTCCTGTGTTACTAAATGATGCAATTTCTATCAGAGTTGCACGGTGCACTAGGTTGTACATTTCATCTTCTTGTTTTCGAAGTTCAACCCTGGGACTGTGTCGAGCTACTCAAAAAACGGCTTTGTTTGTTGAGATTGAAAGCTTTTGGCTGAAAACACAACAGATCCCCTCAGGAATACCACAGAAGTGCCTCATATACCAGAACCTGATATTGTCTGCCATGGGCCAGGCTGCACTGCATCCCCCATGATGCATGATGGACTCTCCTCTTTCAAAACTACCCTAGAAAATCACTGGAGTCCCACAGCCACCGTTTGTGGAGGGGAGGAGGCGAGATTAGTATTTTGACTGAAAGACGTCTTTGGAAAAAAATAATTTCTTGAAAAATCCCCCAAATCAACCTATCGATCTATTGCAGCTTGTGATATTCTATGTGTTTCTCTTGCTGTGTCACTCTCCAAAATATAACACATAGGTTCTTTGGTTTTGCTTGATGGAGGAAACATGGTGACTGGAGAACCTAAGTAAGGGTGTGTCTAGACTACATGCCTCCGTCGACGGAGGTATGTAGATTAGACAGATCGGCAGAGGGAAATGAAGCCGCGATTAAAATAATCGCGGCTTCATTTAAATTTAAATGGCTGCCCCGCTCTGCCGATCAACTGTTTGTCAGCAGATCGGGGCAGTCTGGATGCGCCGCGTCGACAAAGAAGCCTTTCTTGATCGGCACAGGTAAACCTGGTTTCACGAGGCATACCTGT